CCCACAAACCAACCTCACTCCACTCCCACACCTATCCAATTTGGCAGCCTCTCCCCCACAATGACAAGTCCTGAATCATCACCAATCCCATCTCCCCCACCATTACCCAACAGGCACCCCATGACCACTCGTGCACGAAGTGGTATCTTCAAACCTAAACTCTACTCCACCTCCTCTACCTCTTCTCCACCCACCACAGAGCCTGTTACCTATAAAGATGCCTCCCAAAACAGTTATTGGTGTCAAGCTATGGATGATGAGTATAAAGCCTTGATTGATCAGCAAACATGGGAGCTTGTTCCGGCACCTTCAGATCGGGTTCCTATTGGATGTAAGTGGATTTATAAAATTAAGCATAACTCTGATGGTTCTGTCTCCAGGTACAAGGCCCGTCTTGTGGTCAAGGGCTACACATAGGAATATGGTTTGGACTACTCTGAGATTTTTAGCCCTGTGGTCAAACACCAGACTATTCGGGTGGTTCTTTCTCTAGCGGTCAGTCACAACTGTCCTCTTCATCAATTGGATGTCTCCAATGCTTTCCTTCATGGTGTCATTCTTGATGAAATTTATATGAAGCAGCCTCCAGGATATGTAGATCAGCAGTATCCTCATTATGTGTGCAAACTAAAGAAATCTCTTTATGGGCTGAAACAGGCACCCCGGGCTTGGTACCAGCGTCTGTCAGGGTTCCTTGTTGACTATGGCTTTGGGAAAAATGAACATGACACCAGCTTCTTTGTTAAGCACTCTTCCTCTGGCATTCTCATTGTCCTTCTCTATGTTGATGATATTATTGTCACTAGGAGTGCCTCACCTCTTATCTCTTCATTCATCGAGGCTATGCAAAAGGAATTTCAAATGAAGAATCTTGGCCCTCTTCACTACTTTCTTGGTCTTGAAGTCACACGCACAAAGGATCATCTGCTTCTATCTCAGGAAAAATATGCCCGTGAACTTCTTCATAAAGCAGGAGTCGAGGATTGCAAACCGCCCCCCACGCCCCTACCCGTACGGCAGCCCGAGGAGGGGGTGAGCCGTCCATTCGACAATCCCACCTTTTTCCGGAGTTTAGTTGGCTCTCTCCAATACTTGACAAACATGCGTCCAGACATTCAGTTTGCTGTGAATTATGTTTGTCAAAGGATGCATGCACCTACAGAGCAAGATTTTTAGTCCTTGACACACATCCTGCGATATGTCAAAGGAACCATTGATCATGGCTTGGTCTTTCGGCGAGGCCCACAGACCATCTATGCATATTCTGATTCTGATTGGGCCAACGATATGACAGATGGACGGTCCGTTACAGGTTACTTGATATATCTTGGCTTTAATTTACTCTCTTGGAGTACGGAGAAACAAAGTCGTGTCTCACGCTCGTCCACCGAAGCCGAGTACAGAGCCCTATCGGCCGCAGCAGCTGAGGTGATGTGGCTCACCTACTTGTTTGACATTTTACAAATCAAGCTCCCTCCTCCACATCTTCTATGCGACAACCAGTCCACCATCTGTCTGACTAAGAATCCAGTCTTCCATAAGCGCATGAAACATGTCAGAACGGATTGCCACTTTGTACGAGAACAAGTAATTGCAGAGAAAATGACGGTTTCTTATGTTCCTTCTAATGAGCAGCTGGCAGACCTTCTCACAAAAGCTCTTGCCTCGCCACGCTACACTGCATTGGTTGCCAAGCTTCCTCTCGTTTCACGGCGTTCAGCTTGAGGGGGGATATTAGACATATATGGAAAGAAGTCTAGTTATAGCAGAATTGTTATTTATGTTAGTTTACTTATTTGGTGAATCCTAGTCCATGTAGGGATCCTCACCTATATAAACATCCATGTACACAATTATTCCTTAAGAGTGAATTCATAAATCAACACTCTTTCGTTTTTTTTGAATTCCCTAAAACACTTCCACTTTTTATTAAAAAACCTCTTTTACCCTTACTTTTTCATACCCTACATATCACATCATATTTTTTCACTAATAACCAAACTATCACATCTTACTTTTACCCATCACATCAGGGGCAAAATTGGAAAGTCAACCAAAATTACACTTTCTTTATTTTTCCCAAAAGTCAATACTGGAAGGGTTTAAAGGAACGGAGGGAGTATATGTTAAACCTGTTGCACATATAGCCTAATCATTTCCAGCTCACCTCATTCATTGATGTGAAAACTGTTCGATCTTATACAGTTTTCATATTATTGAATTGCTTTTCTCATTCTTCTCTAGTTTGCGCTTATAGTATTTCTTTGAGCTCTTTGTGCAAAAATTGTCCATGTTTTCATGAATCCTTTTTCTATTTTATAGGCAAGTTACTTTCTTCTTTCTTTCTTTCTTTCTTAATCCACGCGTACAATCGTATAGTACCGAACGCAACAAATTTAACCTTTAAAGGGAGGTCAGAAATCTACCCATGCATGTACGAGCATGTCTTCTTTTTTACTCCCAATTTTATTTGGAATATTGAAATTAAATACTCCCTCATCCTAAAATGATCTTCCCAATTTGGTTTTTGAAGTTTGACTTAAATTATTTTTAATTAAATTTATTTGATTATAGGTGTAAAATTAAAAATAAAATTTATAAATTTTAAAACTACATCAAAAATTCTACAAAACAAGATGTGAAATGACACTATTATTTTATCAATTGATTAACGCAAATAGATAAAAAAAGTGATTTACCTTAGCCACCCATCGAGAATAAAAGATGCATTGTTTAATGTTCAGAGATAAACGGTGCATACTCCCTCTATATTGTCTCTTTGATCTAATATAGTTGTCACCACTTTGATATGCATCCTGATGGGCCTGTCTTGTTTCTAAGGCATCGTGGCCAACACTCGTTCTCACATGGGCAAATCCTCACTTATGGACTGGATGGTCCAAATCATTTCTCTTGGGCTTCACATATTATTTGGTCCGAGTTTGGCATCATATAACTAACTACTCCGTATAACTACATGAATCAATTGGGCTGAGTGTATTGATCCAGTCATCTCCTAATATACATTCCGATCACGCGTCGGGCTAAACGTGCGCGAATCTGGTTCGTGGAAATTGGAGAAAGCTTCAAATTGAGATTGTAGTAAAACCCACTCCCTATTTTTCTTTTACGGAGTAAATATATTTAAAATCTAATTCATATTACGGGACGAAGCTAAGGTGGTATTTTTTTTTATAAGAAAAAGAGGTAGTACATATATAATACTCCCCCGTCTTCTTTGAAACTTTTATTGGGCTTTTCACAGTCTTTAAAGTAATTTTTCTCCATCAATAATTAAAAAAATCAACCCAAATAAGGAAACAAATATAGCATTTATTCTCAATATATGAATTTCATATTTTTATATCAAAGTAGGAGTTTGCACCGTGAGTCTGTGAAATTATGACAGTGTATATTGGCATCTCACTATATTTTTAGTATTTTTTATTGTCATTGTATATTTGGACATTATATCCATGTTTTACCTTTAATTTAGTCCTTTATCCATATTTTTATTTATAGATAGACCAATATTATAAAAATATACTCCTTAATATTTAAGAACTATGTTTCAAAACATAAATTACAACACAAATGACCTAGTTGCATCCCACGGAAATAGGTATCTATGTTTTTATTTATAGATAGAACTATATTATTAAAATATAATATTTAAGAACTATGTTTCAAAATATAATTTACAACATCAAAAATGACCTGGTTGAATCCCACAAAAATAGGATCTATAAAACTAATCAAGCCCCCAGTGAGGATCAAACTCACGACCTTTCACTTACGAAGCGAACGCACTACCACTATGCTATGGAGGCTCTTGTTTTTTCAAAATAAATTTATTGATATTAAATTTATATCATAATTTAATGTATTTTTTTCAAAACTTATAATCGAAGTTTTAGAAATTTGACCTTGGCAATCAAACTGGTAAGACTCATAGGGGATAGTGGGAGTACACAATTAGCGTATACACGACAATATATTTTAAGAGGAGGAATTCTATGATTTTTAAGAGGAGTAAATTCTATACACAATGAGCGTATACATGACTATATATTTAAAAGGCGTAAATTATAAACACAATTAGCGTATACACAACTATATATTTAAGAGTAAATTTCTTTAATTGATGAATATATTACAAAAAAAATTCATAATTTGTCATCTATTATCAAATATTATGTTCGTAGTCCTTTTATGCATGTGTACCATTCCATGGAGAGTTTTTTTTGATATTTTGTCAATTTTGTATAAAATTTAGGACTAAAAACATAATTTAAGAACGATCATATTTCCATATTGAGAATTGTCATAGTCCATGTCAAAAGTCGTTGTTGATGAGTCGTACGTTTAAAACTCGAGTCGTTGTCCAATATCAGACAATCATAGTCTACAGATGTCGTGTCTAGTTGAACTCTTTGACTACATTCATAGTCATTGTTGTTGCCCGAGAATGTAGAATGACGTAGGAGGAAAATGAATCCAAGAGGGGCGTCATTTTGCCCGAACATGCATGCATGGACCCCAACCAGAATGCCATAGTCACATGTTACATACCATACCTACTGCAATAATGTTATGTTAATTGGGATCAAAATAAATTCGAGTAATAAAGATTATTTAACGTCCCCTACCTCCCACATGCCCGTTGTTTTTATAATTATTACTATACCCGCGCGGTGCGGCCCGTCAGTCAGGCAGCCAATTAAAACACTACTGTATATATCCAAATGTAAGCGCACTGTGACTATGTGAGGGTATAAGTCATCATTGTTACTCCCTCCGTCCCAAATTATTTGTCATATTTGTATTCTTGAGATAAAATATCAAATTTTTCAAATTATTTTATTTACATATTGGTATAGAAATAAAAAATAAAATTTACATATCAAAAACTATATGAAAATTTCTTCGAAATAAGAGGTGTCAAGAATATTTTATTTTATCAAATAACTAATGAAAACGTCGAAATAAACAAAAGTTTCCGCAACTGTTGAAAAAGCAAATGTTGTGAATATTTAGGGACGGAGTAGTACTATGCAAGAATTGAATTACCCCTTTGTCCCATAATTATTTTCCTTCTTTTTCTTTTTGAATCATCTCAAAATTTTATTCTTCTTTTCCTTTAAGGAAACACATATTCCATCCGTCTCAGAATATTTCTCTATTTTTTATTTTTTCAGTTAAAATTTGTAAATTTTGACTCCAATTTAAATAAAAATGGTATTCGATATTGATGTAAATATAGTCCTATTAGATTTATTATATAAAATATTTTCAAAATATTATTTTGTCTATTCAAAGTTTGAAAACAATTTACTGCAAAAATTCAAAACTAGACAAATATTCTGAGTCGAAGGTAATATGTGATCTATATCATTTCTCTTTCTTCTACACAACCTACAACCCCAATATTCCACTTTATAAAAAACTGTATCAAATCAAACTCGAAAAATAAGAGCAATGCTAGGGGTACACCTTTGGGGTACACCAAATGTGTACCCTATTTGTCCTTCACCCCCTTCTCCATCACCAGTTTTTATCATCTTTTTATCTATTTATTTATTTTTAAAAATACTTGCCCATTTATGTGGTGGAGGGGGTCCCATCACCTTCGACAACCCTCGCATTTTTCGAAGTCTTGTTGGAGGTCTTTAGTATCTAACCGTGACACACCCAGATATACTATATTGCTATAAATTTTGTTGCACAAAAATTGATCAACCCTACTAAGCAAGATTCTAAATGAAATTCTCACTAAATAAAATTAAAACACATGTTTTTTCCAATTAAGTATCTAAAACTATTTATTCCCTAAATAATATTTGAATAATTTTTAGTGGCATCAATGTTCAATGGCAGTGGACAATTTACTGAACAATGTCCAGTGGTGGTGGACATTTATTTGAACAGAATTCAATGGATACTGAACAATGGTACTACATTGATTAATTAAAACATATGGTACTACGTTAGGAAACACACTGTATTTTAGTACTTTATAGGTAAAATCACCAGATTTTAACACCATTGAGCATATTCTCTGACATGTTAAATGCTCTCTCACCATAGGCATTACATTTCATCAGGGCGGTCTACGCGTGCACGAATACTACCATTCTGACTGAGGTAACACCTCAATCTGTTCAGTTCTGTAGCAACTTTCGGACTAAGATATTAACTTGACAACGTAAAGATTTCAAACATTTAAACTTTATTTCAACCAACTTTGAAAAATAATTTGGAATAATATCAGAGTATAACTATTCAAAATAATGCAGAAACAATTTAAAAATTACAACAATATGGTTATTCGATAATTTAACATGTGATAAAATCATAATTTAACATGTGATAAATTGTGCACGTCCACGCATCGCCTCCATCACAATACCCTCCAAGATAATACATATATAAGTTATTAAGTTGAACTAAGTAATCGATTAGCTTCAATATTTTAAAATAATTCAACACAATTGCTTTATGGTCCAATCTTGTGATTCACACTCCATTCTAAAATTGAGTAGACATGCATATGCAAATGCTATGAACGAGTTAGACATAGCCATGTCTAAGCTGTTCATATTATATGTTAACGAATATTTTTAAAATGAGTTTTTATCTTATTTAATTAAGGATAATTAACCTAAATAGGACTAAAATATAATAACTTTCTCAATATAGGATCATATGTTTTTATTTCCCAATGTAGGATCTTTAGTCATTATCTATTAGTCATTATTCAACTAAATGTCCAGCATCACTTGACATTATCCTTCTCACTAGTCATTAGTAAGTCCTATTTAAAGAATTAAAAAGTTTAAGTCCTACATTAGGAAATGACTTACTAGTATATTTTAGTCCTATTCAGTACAAATTTCACTTTAATTAATATACCGCAATATTTTTTTATTTCAATTTGAAAATGTGATATTTGCACTAAATAGAACTAAAATATAAGTCATTTTCTAATGTGGGACTTAAATTTTTTTATTCCTTAAATAATATTTAATAATGCCTAATGGGAAGAATAATGTTCGGTGATGATGGACATTTTACTTGAATAATGACTAATGGATAATGATCAATGGTTTTACATTAGAAAATAAAAATATATATTGAAAAAGTCATTATATTTTAATGATATCAACAAAGAACAAAAAGTCAAAATTAAAGAAATTGACTAAAAATAAACACGAAAGTTCGTCCGCCTTGCACCAAATCCGAGGCATTACGCATAAATACAAACCTCAAGAACACTCTAGCGGCCAAGTGCCTCTCTCTAGCCATGGACTCCTCTTTCCCCCCATTCTTCTCTTCCACCATTTCTTTGTCCCTAGTTTTGATCCTCTGTCTGTCTGGTTTCGATTTTGCTTATGCAGCACAACCTAAGAAGGTTAAGATTGGTCAAGGTTACCGTTTGGTCTCCCTCAGTGAGTTCCCCGACGGTGCCCTTCTGGGCGAGCTTCTTGTCAACAAGCCTAACAGTATCTACGGCCCTGATATTCCTCATTTGCAGTTCTATGTGAAGTAAGTTTTATTTCCAAGATTTCACCTTTTTTCTTTCTTTCTTTCTTTTCAGCGTTCCAACTCTCTTCGAGAGATTAAAGTTCGAATCTTTTTGTTTGGTTTGGTTGGGTTTGGTTTTGGCTCAGACACGAATCAGAGAAGTCACTGAGGGTTCACATAACAGACGCAGAGAAGCAGAGATGGGAAGTCCCATATGAGCTTTTGCCGAGGGAAAAGCCTCCATCTTTGAAGCAATCATTCGGCACTGGTCTAAGGAAAAAGCCCGTACCGTTGGGTGTATCAGAATATTCTGGAAACGAGCTCATCTTTAGCTTTTCCGCTAACCCTTTTAGCTTTGCGGTGAAAAGGAAGTCAAACGGGGACACCCTTTTCAATTCAAGCTCCGACAGATCCGACCCGTATAGCGGTTTGGTGTTCAAGGACCAGTACCTGGAGATATCCACCAAATTGGCAGGGGACGCGTCGCTGTATGGGCTCGGGGAGAGCACAAAGCCACACGGGATCAAGCTGCACCCGAATGACGCTTTTACCCTCTACACCACCGACCAGTCTGCCATAAATCTGAATATGGATCTGTACGGGTCCCACCCAATGTACATGGACCTCAGGAATGTGGATGGAGATGCCTATGCCCATGCGGTCCTCTTGCTGAACAGCAATGGGATGGACGTGTCCTACACAGGGACTTCTTTGACATACAAGGTGATTGGGGGCGTTTTGGACTTTTACTTCTTCTCAGGCCCCAGTCCTCTTGATGTTGTTGATCAGTACACTGCATTCATAGGCAGGCCAGCTGCAATGCCCTACTGGTCCTTCGGTGAGCCCCTAGCTACTCCCATCTTCCTTCCCCTTTCTTTCTTTCTTTGTGGCTCACAATTTACAGTACTACTCACTCTATATTGGTACAGCTTTATTAAGTTCACTTTTAATGCCATGGACCATAACCTTTCATTGGTCTTTATCATAATGATTTGAAATGATAATTACCAAAGATTTTTTGTTCATCCCCTCAGAGTGACTAAAAGCATGTGAAAGTTTTGTCTTTTAGACAATATTCTCTATGGATCAGGACAAGCAAGAGCTCTATTTGCAGATAGATGCAGTGTGTGATAAGACATACTGTTAAGCTAAATCCCTACATTATTAGATCCTAATTAGGTCTGCACAATGTCTCCTTCTTTGACCCTTTTTTGGATTGGAACAAGTCTTTGTTAAAAATAGTGTATGAATTCAAGCCTTGATTAGGAAACACCAAAAAAGGAAATTAAAAAAAAAAGGTTGCAAAGAGATTGCAATGGTAGGCCTCATCTGAAAAGGATTACCCAAACATCCTTGTCTTGATTGAGCACATGACAAATTAAATCTTTTCACAATTTCTTCCACTTGGAGGCCTACTTCAAAAAGCCAAAGTGATAAAGCTGAATAATCTAAGCTCTTACTCGTGTATGTTTGTTTTTAATTCATGTATATACTTAGTTGCTCTGGAATAGCTTGAGAATTTAATTGTCTTTGTTGTTAATGTTGTTCGGTGGGTAATTAATTCATTTCTTTTTAATGAATGATGATGCAGGGTTCCATCAATGTAGATGGGGTTACCACAACTTATCTGTACTTGAAGACGTTGTGGACAACTACCAGAAGGCGAAGATCCCTCTTGATGTGATTTGGAACGATGATGATCACATGGACGGGAAGAAAATCTTCACACTCAACCCAGTGAACTATCCCCGCCCCCAAACCCTGGCCTTCCTGTCCAAAATTCATGCCCAGGGCATGAAATACATCGTCATCGTGGACCCCGGGATCGGCGTCAACAAAAGTTATGGTGTGTACCAAAGAGGGATAGCCAATGACGTTTTCATCAAGTATAAGGGCAAGCCGTACGTGGCCCAAGTCTGGCCCGGTGCTGTCAACTTCCCCGACTTCCTCAATCCAAAAACCGTTCAATGGTGGGTCGACGAGATCCATAGGTTCCATGATCTGTTGCCCGTGGATGGGCTTTGGCTCGACATGAATGAAGTTTCCAACTTTTGCACTGGATTGTGCACCTTACCAGAGGGACGAATATGCCCCAATGGAACCGGTCCGGGTTGGATATGCTGTCTTGACTGTAAGAATGTGACCAAAACCAGATGGGACGACCCCCCTTACAAGATAAACGCTTCAGGAATAGAAGCGCCCATTGGGTACAAAACCATAGCCACCAGTGCAGAGCACCACAACGGGGTGTTGGAGTATGATGCCCACAGCATATACGGTTTCTCCGAGACGGTCGCGACTCACAGAGGACTTGAATCGCTCGAGTCCAAGAGACCGTTCATATTGACCCGTTCCACGTTTGTTGGGTCGGGCCACTATGCTGCTCATTGGACTGGGGACAACAAGGCAACTTGGGAGGATTTGAAGTATTCGATCTCAACAATGTTGGAATTCGGGATGTATGGGGTTCCCATGGTGGGTTCGGATATATGCGGGTTCTATCCCCCGCCCACCGAAGAGCTTTGCAACCGTTGGATCGAACTCGGGGCTTTCTATCCTTTCTCAAGAGATCACGCAAACTACTACTCTCCCCGACAAGAGCTCTATCAGTGGGAGACAGTGGCCGAGTCCGGGCGCAACGCTTTGGGAATGAGATATAGGCTTCTTCCTTACCTCTACACCTTGAACTATGAAGCGCACACGACGGGTGCCCCCATTGCAAGGCCTCTGTTCTTTACGTTCCCGATGTTCACCGAACTATACGGATTGAGCACACAGTTCTTGCTGGGGAAGAGCATCATGATCTCTCCGGTGCTCGAACCGGGTAAGACCGAAGTGAACGCCATGTTCCCACCCGGGACATGGTACGACATGTTCAACATGACGCAGGCCATTGTCGTCGAGGAACAGACGCAGGAGGTCGTTCTAGACGCGCCCCTGCATGCCATCAACGTGCACCTGTACCAGAACGCGATCGTCCCCATGCAGCGCGGGGGTCTGAGGACGAAAGAAGCGCGGGACACGCCGTTCACGCTCGTCGTCGCGTTCCCTTTCGGGGCCTCGGCATCGGACGACGAAGTGCAAGCACTGGGGACGCTGTTCCTCGACGAGGACGAGCTTCCCGAGATGAAGCTCGGGAACGGCCAATCGACGCTCGTGAGCTTCTGTGCTACGGCGGGGGGTGGGACGGTGAACGTGTCCTCGGAGGTTCAGGAGGGGGACTACGCGTTGCGCAAGGGGTGGATCATAGAGAGGGTGACGGTGTTGGGGGTGAACCCCATGCGGGAGGGGTTCCGGCTCGAGGTCGACGGGGCGGAGGTTGTCGACACTTCCAAGGTGCGGTTCAGCACGGCGGAACACGCGAATTACGGGGAGGCGCGGGAAGAGGACGAGGAAGAAGGCGGCCAAAAGAAGAAGAATGTGATGCTGGAGATCAGTGGGTTGGAGTTGCTGGTAGGAAAGAACTTCTGCATGTCATGGAAGGTGGGCATCACAAACTGAAGGAAGAGAGAGAGAGAGATAGAGAGGGGCCTTTGCTGCTTTTGTTTTTAGAGTGTTATTCTTCTTCTTCTTCTTCATGATGGGTAAATGAAAATGGGGTGGGGTGATCAGAGAGATTAGCCCATTCCTTCACATGTAGAGAGAAGAGAATTTGAGGTTCTACTTGTGTGTTTGCCTTTCTTATTCTTAGGTTAGTTTTGGTCTTGTTGTTGTTGTGGTTGTTACACTTTATCTTGAACTGTAACTGTAATAGCTGGCTGAGAATGTAAGATCTGAATTCAACAATTAGAGCAAGTGAAGTTTGTCACATAGTCATGTTGCACTAATTAGAACAATACTCCGTATCATTTTAAGTTCAGTGGGCCATAGAAGTATAGATATCCAAATTACACACTAGGGAAAAAAAACTGGATTCAAGAATTTAAATGAGTTCTTACTTCTCAGGCACCACCTAAATTATTTTTCTTGTCTCAAGCACTGCCTAAATTTGTTTAAGAAGTGAGTTGAAAATAACAACAAAAATTGCTCCAACCTTTTGTAAATAAACAATTGATGTCTGAATCCAAACGTGACAGTAATATTTATTAATCCATCACTTCTAAAATAAAGGTTATAATTTTATTTTTGTAGTAATATGAAAACTTAAGTTTTTTTTTGCACAAATGAAAATATTTAAAACAATTTGGCAAATGTAGAACGACTACTTTAGACCATCTCCAATCTATCACACCAAACTCAAACTAAAAATGCAGCACAAACTTATAGTACTCAGAACGAGTACTTTAGACCATATATGTGTTTGAATGAAGCTGAAAGAGTGTGAAAACCCAAATTGGGTTTGTCAATGGTGTACCATTGGGGATAAAAGGGCACCATATTTTGATAAATACATTACGGGTGGAGATGCCCTTACATGCCCTTAAATTGGTTACTTCCTTTTGGAACGTGTTGAGCACTTTTTGGGTGGTGTGTAGTTAAATACAATGGATGTCACTGACACTGTCCACAAAACACGAAGAGAAATTATGTATATGCTTTTTTTTATTCATTTTGTTTAAAAAATAGTATCGAAAGAAATTGTAAATCTTAAATATTTAAAATCTATTTCTAAAATTCTATAAAATAAGAAGTAACAAAAATATTTTATTTTATAAAATAAGCAATAAAAAAATAAACAATATCTTTATAAATTTGAAGTACTATAGAGTGACATCATCCATTGTGAAAGACTGGGAGGTAAGGAGTAAAAAACTTACTCCCTATTTAATGTAATCTACTCCGTTAATGGGCAGAAAAAGCCCACTATATGATTTAAAGTTGTGCCCCAAAGTGAGAGTATTGCCCAAACGTATAGAATGAGCCCAATAAAAATGATGGATCCTCCCGCTACCATAGGATACCGGTTGTTTAATGTTAATGGGGCGGGCCATTTGAATTCAATTGAATTAGGTCCCTTCCCAACAGAACGCTGACACTTGTTATGACATGGGGTCAGACTGGCTAGTGATGGAGGCAGGAAAACGTGGCTCCGGCTCTGCACATCTATCCCCTCATGATGACTCATGCCTTATCCTTTACATCGTAATTCATTGTACTCCTTCCATCTTTAAAAAAGATTATTACACTTTGACTTTTTGATCCAATAATGACAACCTTTAACCCACGAATTAGATATAGTTTAAAATAATTAAATTTTAAAAGAATTTGTTATTTCAAAACTATATAATTTCAAATAAACTTAGTCTTACTAAATTTAAGTGAATTTGGTGTTTCACGAGTTCTCAAAACACATTGATTTTCGCTATCATATTGTTCACGAGTCTCCAACGGCAACCTATAGTCATGGCCTACGTCCTTGCCCGTCTTCAAATTGCAGACATCTTAGGAAAGCACTGTCTAGCCATCCACATTGTTTTTGTTTTTAATATCCAATTCAAGTTAGGCATATATGATATTCAAGTATTGGAGTATATATATTTTATAAATATTCTTTGTAGTTTGTATTTACTTAGCGCACCGGACCTATAAGTGTTTGTATTTTAATTTTCGGAAATTTATGGAATGAAGAGAGAACATTATTTCTCAAAATTCTGCACTTATACAAAACGTCAAAAAACGAATGAAAGCATAAAAATTTGAAAATATTCCAATTTTTGAGCCTCACTCACAGGCTTAAGAGATTAAAATTTATTTGAACAAATACTATATGTGAGCTATTAAAAAAAATTAAAAGTACTCGGGACAAAAGTACAAAACACAATTTGGCACAGGCCGTCGTGGTGTTGTACAGTAATCGGGCAAATATTTTCCTTTCCATCATAAATACGTAGTACTCCGTAATAATACTCCCGCGTTGGAGTTAAGTTGGAACATCATTAATGGGAGTATTAATGTTGGGCTTAAGGGATGGATACTCACGTGAGTGTAGACTAGAGAGATGGCATGGCATGGTAATTGCCACGTGAGACTTTTTTTTTATATTCCCGTCCCTAAATAGATTACAATTTTTTTTTCTCTCTTCTCTCGATAACTTTTGTTTGTTTACGTGATTTCATTAAGTATTTGATAAAATAAATTATTCTTGTCATCTCTTGTTTTGTAGAACTTTTGATGTAGTTTTTTAATATGTTATTTTTATATCTTATTGATATACCAATTTGTAAATAAAATGATTTCAAAAAATAAAAAATTTTATTCCGTAACTCGTAATTTGTAATCAAATTAAGGACGGAGGGAGTATTTATAATTCTATCCGTTCGTTGTAGGGAGAAATGGAGTCATGATTTATTGTTAGGTGGTTCAAGATATTTTAGTGTCCCAAATATTAGTCGCACATTAGGATTCTGTTCCTTGTTGTTCACTCACTAATTAACTTTTCAGAACACAAACCACTTTCCAGCCAATATTTATGAAGAGAGTAGTACGGACTAATAGTTACGCTTTCTTTTCCACGGCAGGAATTCTATATATGCATCATGACTAAATTTTTCACTCTCTTTTATTTATTCTACCCTCCATAAATTAATTACACTTTATGCCTGATGGGTATATCCTTATACCCGACCCGGATAACCAAAAGGGACAGGTCAAAACATGACCGGTCACTTTTATCAAGTCACCAAATGATGTTAACTCTTCGATTGGGACGAGTCAAAAAATGACCGGTCACTTCCACTAAAAAAGTGACCGATCACATTTTAGGCGATAGCCAATTCGTCACTTAATGTTGTGAAGGATATTCCAGATGACCAAAGAGATTGGTTGAACTTAAGAAATGACCGGGTAACCTTTGAGGAAAGGTGACCGGTCAGGTTGCGTTACTTGAGAAGAACAATCAACATCAGAGGCTAGGGGACACCCCGCCGCTCATCCGTCACGAGGCAAACAGTGAAGGGAATGATTGGCGTTTTGCATGATTGATTGGATTGAGAATATCCATGACATAGTCTTTGATTGAACAGTGCATGTCTTGGCTTGTAGTTGCTAGATTCATTGATTGAATAGTTGATTGATTATGTACAGTGACCTTCCCACGGGCTTCCTATTTTGTCCATGGATGAACAGGGGAAGGTCACAAATCCTCCTCTATAAATATGATGATATTGGATAGAGGAGGGGGACAATTCTTTATCTCACTAAAACTAGTACACTCTTGAGACAGAGTAAGAAATATATTTCGGACTGAAGAGATTTACCCGGTCTAGGTCATACTTTGTGTTCTTGTTGTGTGTTTTATATTACGGGTCGAGTGTCCAGGTCAAACCCGGTTAACCCGCCCAGCTATATTTACACCATCATTTTTGGCGCCGACCGTGGGACTGATTTTTAAAGTTTTTTCGACCAGGTCAAAACTTTACCCCCACTAAGTATCCACAATCATGTCTTCAAGCAACCACAACACTGTGTCAAGCCAGGCTG